CTTCCATATTTTTGTCAAAAGTTGACATAATTCAAGCATGGTAGAAAAATTCTACAAATCTGGATAGTTAGGAGCATCAAGTATAAAATGATGAAGTTAAATTTTTAAAATTAATCTTCTCTTGTTCACTAAAATCCAAAGGATAAAATTTGTTCACAAATGTGCATATATGATCAATGTTAAAAATTTTATAAACATCATTTGGAACTAAAGCATTGCTTAAAGTTAAAAGTTTCATTGTTTGCTCATTAAATCTATCATTTAATTATTGTAATTATTTATCCACTATAATAAAAACTATGTTCACCTTGAAATGATGTTCTAATGTAACACAATTTTTTTGATGTCGAGAACAACCATGATGTGCTAGATAGGTAGAATTAAAATTAGGAATATCAATGTCATGTTCCTCAGAAACACAATATCACACCTTTCAACAAATCTTGTCAACCCTCCCCTCTTAATTTTTGAATCAAAATTTTAGTTGAATAGACCAACTGCATAACATTATATATATATATATATATATATATATATATATATATATATATCCTGATATTGTTTATGTAAAGTTTGACAAAGACAATTAGTAATTCTCATAATTTCTTTTATCATGTGTAAAATCAATATGAACTCAAACTCAAACAAAATATTATAAGCAGCATCAACATCACCCCTTTGAGAATAAGTTGAACCATCAATTACAATTTTTTGGAGAACTAAATAAGATGTACTATACAATTTCATCATACTACAAATGAGATGAAAATGTGAACTCCAACGAGTATCATCAAATCATTTTAAAGTGTCAATTTGATTTTTTTCTTTACCAATTCCAAGTTCACCAAGTTCTAACAATTGGGCTATTTCATCTAATTCAGCACTTTGTAAATCATCATAACGTTTACTAGATGAACAAACAACATCTATAATAAAATCCAAATTTGAAAAAAATTGATGAACTGGAAAAACTTCTCTTAAAGCAGCAACCAAAGCAAGTTGTAATTTACGAGAAAAACAATGTACATAACAAGTATAAGGATTATCATAAAGAAATAATGCTTGCAATCCATTCCATTCTCCTTTCATATTACTAGCACCATCATATCCTTGCCCACAAATATTGAAAACATCAAGATTATGTCTAGAGAGAACAACACATAATTTTCTTTTAAGAGTAGCAGTTGTAGTATCCTTAACATGCACAATATCAAAAAAATGTTCTCTAATATTATCCATTTTATCTACAAATCTCAAAACAATAGTCATTTATTCTCTTCTAAATTCATCACGAGCTTCATCAACAATTATATAAAATTTTGAGTCTCTAATTTCTTTGAATATAATGAGGAGTATATTTTGAATTATAAGGAGCATTTTCTAACACAACATATGCTACTTTATCGTTGTATGATCCTAAAAGTTTAATCATCTCAAGAAAGTTACCTTTGTTGCTTGAATATGGTGTTTCATCATGACCTCTAAATGCACAAGCTTGAAATGCTAGCCAATGAATTGTATCAATAGAAGTTTTGAGCCATAAATGATTTTTGCAAACATCTTTTGAATTTTTCACATTTATAATAGTGTTAATGTGTTTAGATTGATTCAATAAGTTTGTACATGCTTTCGTTACATTGTTATGTGGTGAACAAGGACTATCTCCAATGTGACTAAGAAACACACAATTCTTTCCTACATTAACCTTTTTCTATTATCTAAATCTTTGTCTAATAAATACATCTGCCCCAGGACGATCATTTGACAGTGTACTAAATAAATAACATGACAAACAATAAGCTTCATCACTAGTTGGAGAGTACTCTAGTCAAGAAGAAAACATTTTAAACCAAGCATATTGAAATCTCCTAGGATGTTTCTCTTTAGAAAGAGAATAGTTTTTAAGTTGTATTTGATATGGACCCCAATTTAAATAAACTCTTCTAATTTCATCTCTTTTATTTATAAGATATTCATGTATCTTAAAACGTTTTCCTAGGTCATGCTCCAAAGAATTAATATTAAATTCATTGATTTTAATTCTTTGAATTTTAAAAAGAGGTTCTTCTAATTGAATAATTGGATAATTAATATCATGCTTTGAAATAGGAGAAAATGTTGAATTTTGTTTGTTTTCATGTCTACAAGTATCTCTTTTATCACTTTTAAAGAGTGAAGCTATTCTTTTATGCTTCATATCTAGAAAAAAATGAATCTATTATTATTTTTCTAATTATAGAACCATAAAAATTTATAAAAAAACAAAAATATTTTTTTCTCAAACAACAAATGTTTCTCTACAAAAATCAAAATAACAAAGAATAATAGAATAAACAATGTGAAAAGATGAGAAAAAAGTACATCTATATTGTTAATCAATATAATTTCAAGGATGGAATATGAGGAAGGAGGGAGGGGAGGAAGGAGGGAGGGAGAAGAAAAATTAATTTGAAAGTAAAAATTATAGAAACAATTGAATACTAGCTAATCAATCAATATTACCTTTAGTGTGAGAATATAAAAAGGTGAGAGAAGATGGAAATAAAATAAGCAGGGTGAAAAGATGAGAAAAAAATACCTTTATATTGTTAATCAATCTAATTTGAAGGATGAAATCTAAGGAGGGAGAGAGAAGAAAAATGAATTTAAGAGTAGAAATTATAAAAACAATTGAATATTGAATACTAATCAATCAATATTACGAGAAAATATAAAAAAGTGAAAAGAGATGGAAAAGTAAAAAAATAAAACTAATATTTAATATATTCCTTAAAAATTAGAGAAATAATTAAATACTAATTAAATATTACTATTAGTGAGAAAGTATATGAAGGTGAGATAAGATAGAAAGATCAAATAATAAAACTATTTTTAATCTTTTTATTTAATTTATTTTTTTAGTTTTTTCTTTATAATATATTTAATTATTTATTTTAATATTAGAAAATCAAAATCATAAATATATAAATAAGTTATTAGAAATCATGACTCTTAATTATTATGACTCTTAATTATTATATATAAATGATGAAGTATACAAATCATGAATCATACAGATCAAACTCATGAATCATAAAGATAAAACTCTTTTGAATATCTCATATCTCATTCCATTAAAAAATGTCTAATATAAAAAATTATAAATTATAATTTAAAATAATAATTTTTTTTTAAATTTCAATAATAATAAATATTTTTTTAATTGACGAGATAAGAGACCATTTATATTAATTAGTGGATGTATGATCTAGGATTTTTATATATATATATATATATATATATATATATATATATTAATGTATTTTTATCTATGTGCAAAATAAAAATATAATAAAATATTAAATATTAATAATAATTGAGTTATAATTCCTTAAATCAAAATAAAAATATATTTTATTTCTTAAAAAGTGATAAAAACTTTTTTAATATCTAATTAAATAATATATCAATTAAATATTACACCAATAATATAGTTTTAAGTTAAAATTTCAAAACTTTTTATCATTTTTTAAGAAAAATTTATAAATGATTATTCCTAGCTTTTTTTTCAATTTTTTATAAGATAAAATTAATTTATATATGGTATTTTTTACATATTATTTATATTAGCTTCCTTAAAATCTGATTTTTAATTTATTTGTAAATCATGTAGTTAATGAATAAACTAATTTCATTTTTTTCTTGTTTTTCTATGTTTTTGGAGAAAATTTATCCGAAATAAACCTTAAATACTTACATTTGTTTTTTAAATGTATTATTATGACTATAACTAATAGTAGTTGATGATATTATTTTTCATTCCCAAAAATCATATTTCTAAAAGAACATTTATATCCCATAAATAGTGATAAATATAAATATTTTATTTTTAATATTTTCTTTAGACGAAAAAATAACAGTAACCATTTTTCTTATGTGATTTTTGAGACAAATATACGTTTGGATTATGATTCAAAAATATATTTATTTTTAACCATGTAAAAAAATTAATTAATTTTAATTGTTTATAATTATTTTTATTTAAAAAGGAAAATTTTAAATCGGTTTCAAACCATTTTTCAAATAAACTAAAAAAATCCTAAAAATATCTTTATTAAAAATAAATTTTCACAAAGATTAATTATCTTATATAGAAAATGTAGACAAATTTTGTTTTAATAGTTAAACGTTCAAGATTAGATGAAATAACAGTCTTTGATTTGAAGTTTTTATAATAAAAAGTAAATAAAAGATAAATGATATGAATAATGATAAATGAGATATAAAATAAATAAATAAATAACACTTGGGCGTGGTTCCCTAATTTCCTGAAAGTCCAGTCAAGACAACCGTCCAACAGTGAGAAAAGAGCTGCGAAAATAGCATTGCCCTGCATCGCGCTTAAGAAGTGGTCATTCTCGATTCTCTTCTCTCGCTATTACCTCCAGATCTTTCCACACCCATTACAAATACCTTTCACTCTTTCTCTCTGTATCTCTCTCTTCCTCACATTCTCTGGACATACAAAAACTCTCTCTCTCTCTTCAAATCAAAACCTATCACAACATACAAATCCTGAATTCTGTCTTTCTATCTTCTTCTCCTATAAAAGAACTCTTCTTTCGAATCCTTCCCGCTCTCTCTACTCTTGTCACCCTTTTCCCTCTCCGATTCGTTCCACGGGCACATACCAACCCTAATTCCTCTCTTTTAGGTCGGATTTCACACAAACTCCCCGAATTTATCCTTTTCTCAAACTAATTTTAAGACAGATAAAAGGGATTCGTTGCATCGGGTGAAAATCCTTGATTAACTGTTTTGGGGTTTTCTTAACTTTCGAGATCTGGGTTCTTTTTCTGATTGGTTATTAACTAATAAAGGTTTTTCTTTTTCCTTTTGTTTAGAGTTGAGGAAAAAGGAAGCGGAGTTTTGTTTTTTTGTTTGGTACTGATTGGTGTTGAACGTGGTGGGTTTTTTTGGTTGTGGCCAGCTCTGTGATTGGGTTAATAAATTAGGGTTTGATGGCTGACCAAGGATTGGAAGGGAGCCAATCGGTGGATCTACAGAAGCACCCTTTTGGGATCGTGCCTACCCTTCAGTGAGTATCTTTTTTGTTTTCCACAAATTGGATCGTTCACTTTTTTCGATTGGTTTCAATTGCAAGTTTCATATGGTTGAATTTGAAGGTTTAAGTTGTGAGGTTAACCCCCTTTTTTGTAATAGACTTCGATGCTTTGCTTGTAATAGGTATCCAACTGAGTCAACTCCCATGTCTTGTATCTTCTTAACACTATTGTGTTGGTTGTGAGAACTCAGCTTGTAAATAGTGATGAAAATCTTTTTGAGTGATGATGTTTGTGCTGTGTAACTGTAGGTGGTATTGCTGAGGTCACTGTGTTGAAACATGGGGCAAATGGGATGATAGGTTACACCTTTTTTTTACATTCAATTATTGATATTTAACTGGTGTTGACTAGGAGAAATCATGGTGTCCTAATCCGGGATTAGTAGTTATCTGCTTATTGTCTATCAAGGTTTCAAATTACTGTTACAAATGTTTTGAGATCTTTGACATTGTGGACAATGGTGGACATATGAAAGGATAGATAGCCCGTGAGCATTGACATCAAAGCTGAAAGTTTAGATGTGGACTTCTTGGCTGGTTTCATGATAATTATTTCGAAGTCTGTCAAATATTACAGAATACTAATAAATTTTTTCAATTTGCGCTATGTACCAGTATACTACAATTAATTGCCAATTTTTCTGCTTAAATATATCCTAAGTTTGGGTATTGGTAGCCACCATAATGCATACAAAAATATAGGATATCAATGTTTCAGTTACACCTGTCATGTTTGCCAAAGTATGTATTTACCTTCTTATTTCCATACAAAAATCATACATTAGAACATCACTATACTAGCACAACATGTTTTACCACCCTGTCTTCTCGTGTAATCCTTGACCTATCTGTCTTGCACCAAATTATAATCACCCTGATTTTTATCTTTTAAGAGGTGGCTGTTTATGTTGTGTCCTATCTTCTGCTATTTCCTACTTTTGATTAGTAATATTTGCTTTTATTTAGTTGGAATATATAAGAATTTTTTCTTTTCACATTGGAATGTTAAGGATTGTGCTTGAATTTACATTGTATTACATAATAATTTTGCTTCTGTTTACAATTTATTATAAAAATGATTTTTTTTTTCTATTTACATTTGTGCACTTCATAATATTTCCTCTATTTACATAGTGTAATCTAAAAATCAAGCTGTTTGTACTGCCAGAAATATTGTGTCCACAGTAAATTTGGACTGTAAGTTGGACCTCAAAACAATTGCACTACAAGCTCGTAATGCAGAGTACAATCCCAAGGCAAGTTTCGTTTACTTGTTGTGAGTTTCACTCTATGCTATCTGCACAATTGTGCATGTATACATGTTTATATTTCTGCCTTTTCATCTGAATTACAATAAAGGTTTACTTGTATCCTGCTATCTAAATTTGTTTGTTCTTATCTGGACCAGAGAAGTATGGTTAATCTAAAATTATTATTTTATGTTAATATCCCATGTGGTATCTATGTATGTTACAATACTTGTGTTCTGCAGAATTATTAGTTAGCAGATGCACTATCTATGCTAGTTCTAGTGGTTGGTGGTTTACTGTACTGATATTTGTGATTTGTTTGCCTGCAGCGTTTTGCTGCTGTTATTATGAGGATAAGAGATCCCAAAACAACTGCACTTATTTTTGCTTCGGGCAAGATGGTATACTTCATTTCTGCACTGCCATGCCTATCTTCTAGATGAGAGTTGTGCATTTTGCTATACTTAGCTGTCCTCAAATTAGATCCATGTTAATTTGTAGTTGTGTGATTCTCTTGTTGAATTCTATTGTTAATTAACTATGTTCATCAAATCAATGAACAAACTGGTGTTGGTTGGAAACTCTATAAAATTCATGCTTGTGTTTGCCTTAAGTGTATATGATTGAAGGTCCTAGTAATGAGTTTGCAAACATATTTACCACTTGTCAGTCAGAATTGCATGAATCAATTGGCTCTGTATAGCTTGACGAGTGAGAATGCGATCATGGAGCAACCTCAATGGCTCAATTATTAATTTATGTAAAATGGACATAAGGAATGCATTCTTTTTCTAAACGTATTTTTACAGTTTTATTTAGTGGAAAAATATGTTTCCCTTATTTTAATAATTGAGCGTTATTAGTCTTGCAATTTACAATACATTTAAATTCTTAAATCCAATTGTAGGCCTTCTGGTTTGTGATTCCCTGATTGCCAACCATGGTTGTAAAAGTTGAAATTTGTTTTTCTGCTTTCTGTCATGGCAAAACTTTTTATATTACAAAACCTGAATAATTTGGTAGCCTTCTTGTAAAGGGATTCTCTTTTTTATGTACTTCAAATTAAATTTTTTATGACCATTGACTAGGTTTGTACTGGAGCGAAGAGTGAACAACAGTCTTAATTGGCAGCCAGGAAGGTAAGCTACTGTTCTTTGTTTTTTGTTATTTTATTTCTTTATCATGCTTTGGGTATTGATGTTATTTTCCTAAATGGAAGCCCTGGCAAAATAAACCAATTTGTGGTAGCTTGCTTTTAAAACTATTCTTTCCTGTTTTTTCAGTAGACTGAGCTCTTAAATAATTTAAGGAGGCCAGATGGTTTTAACTCTTTACAGTGTTTAATATTGATCCTCAAGTTGTTTTCTTTGGTTAGGATTGTGAAGTTCATTCTGAAAAATTTACATTATTTTCCGGTTTTTTGGTTTTCTCCTTTTCAGTATGCTCGCATTATCCAAAAGCTTGGTTTCCCAGCCAAATTTAAGGTACTGCTTCTCTTCCTCATAATCTTTGCTGAAACTGTTTTGTCCATGATTGTTGTTTTTTTTTTCTCACTTAACTATGTACTACTTGATTACTAGTTGATTCATTTGGTATTATATGCATTAGGATTTCAAAATTCAGAACATTGTTGGCTCGTGGGATGTTAAGTTCCCCATACGGCTTGAGGGTCTTGCATACTCTCATGGTGCTTTCTCAAGTGTAAGTTCTTTATTTTTTGGTAATTCATAGGCTTGGAACAGATATATAATTCTTGATGTTTAGTGGTCTCCGAAATAATTTCAAGGAATTTTTTCGAATTATAATCTTGATTTGAAAATAACCTATGGAAAAACTATTTTGTTAAAAGCACTATGTTGCATTGCCTTACATTATAGGTACTTGAAGAGTTCTAAAAATTTTAATAGAGTGAAATGGTTAAACTTGACTAATGTTATTATAAATCACTATGCTCGTGGGATAAAGTAACTTAGTATGAATTGTGTGGAAAGGGGCATCTTCTGTATGTTTATGCACGTGCTTCATCTAAAGTCTAGAAGTATAGGAAAATGATGGATATTTGCTGATACTTTACATTTTTGTTGCCGCAGTATGAACCAGAGCTCTTTCCAGGTCTAATCTACCGTATGAAGCAACCTAAAATAGTCTTGCTTATATTTGTCTCAGGAAAAATTGTTCTAACAGGAGCAAAGGTATTTTTTTCCTTTTAGTTTGCCCCTGCAGTTTCCTCCCCATTTTCTGTTGTACTGGATTTTATGTTTTTATTTCCATTTTTAGGTGAGAGATGAGACATACACTGCCTTCGAGAACATATATCCTGTGCTTACTGAATTCAGGAAAAATCAACAATGGTATGAATTTATCTTTATTTATTTAACTTTCAGTACATTCAGATGTAATGTCAACTATTTCCATAATCGTGGCTACCTTTTTGTTTAGCCATTAGAATTATAAAATGCATTAGATTTAGATACATTTGACATGGTTATGGCAGATTTGTGAAGCAAGAGCAGAGGAGCAGTGGTCTTGCAGTGAAGTTCGTGGAACTGTAAATATTAAGACAAAGGAGATGATATCTAGATTGATATATAAATTAAAGACAGCCGTTCGTGTTGCCTTGTAGTTGTATCTGTTTTTTGATTGGTCTTGATGTAGTAAAGTGGCAGACATTGTTCTATTGAATTCACATTTTAAAAAAAGATTTTTGAGGAGTCAGAAATGAGAAAAAAAAAATGGAGAGCTAAATGGAGAAGTAGAAAGCACATTCAGTTCTGACATTTCAATCTATTTTTGTAACTGTTTCTACCAATTAACCATAGTGTGGTCTGACCACGGAGTAGTGATTGAATATCTTAACCAACAAATCGAATATCTGAAAGATGGAACTTCTTAATGATTATTTTGGACATGAATTTGGTTCCAAATTGAGGTCTCCTCCCTAAGAGAATAAAGGGGATTTGTAGTTAATTTAAAGCCAATGGCTTACAACTATGTTGATATAGATGATTATTGTAGCTTTTAATGTTTATAGCATAACAACACATAAGTGTAGTATAATTGCAGACGTTTCTTTTTGTGTGATATAAGTGTATCGTTAGTCTTGATGTTTATTTGCCTGTGTTAAAATTGATATTTTCAATTCAGAATTATAATCTGATAAGAAAATTTATCTAAATTAATAAATTAAAAATAAAAATCATGAATGCAGTAACTATTTATACTTTTTATGGTATTTGGATTTTTCTTTTCAAACTCAATCAATTTACTTTGCTTTTCACACGTCTTATACTTTTTACAGTTTGATGGAGAGGAAAAGAAAATATATACCAAAGATACAGAAGAGATCTATAAATAAAATTATAGTACTCGTTGGATAGAAATTATTAAATAAACCTGCCAGATGAAGGTTAACAACAAAATTAATTTAATCATTGCCGATTTCATCCTACTTTCTTAATCATTTTTCTCCTATTTTAATAAATTATAATAAATTAAATTTATTTTTATTGAAATATTTTTTTAATTTATTGTTTTGGTATATACATTCTAATGATATTTTTTTTTTTAATTTTCAATCAAAAAAGTTTTAATTTGTTTTAAAATATAAATGAAATCAAGTGATTAATATTTTTTTAGTAAATCAATAAAAATCATACTAAATTAGGTTAGATTATTTATTTTGACAGCTCTAATATATTATATCAAAATTTAGTTGTGAAAGTGTTATATATTGTCCTTTTGATTAGTTATAAACTCTTAATCTTCAATTAAATACATTGAGTTTTTTTTAATAAATAATTTCATTATTTTGTAATCTTTTGTATTCATTTTGTAATTTGATTTTAGAGTTTGTTCATCATTTGCATTGCAGAGTAATGCTTAGCAATGAAATAAAAAGTAAAAACACCCCCCACACACACCAAAGAGGAGAGAGGAAAAGAATATTTGATTCAATAATTGGAAAACTCCAAATTTCTAAAAGTAAAACCGTTTTTTTTTACATTATTTTATTCAATGAAATTTCTCTCTTTACTTGATTAAACAATAAAATCTAACCATGACTCCATTTTACTTGAGAAGCTTCTAAACATAGCCTTAATTGCTGCTGACAATTTCAAATGAGATCAAATATAAAATCATATTGATAAATTGACCCAAATTGTACTTTGATCTATCATAAACAACTTATGTTATTTATTAAAAAAAATTTCATTAGTAGTATTTTGTTTTTAGATCATTATTTTCTTTAAATGCTTAAATATATTTAAATACAATTGTTTTTTATTATTAAGAAAATGTTTAGAAAATAGTCCACTAATAATCACTATTATTTTTTGTTATTTTAAAAAATATGCAGAAAGTAGTCTTAAAAAAAAAGTTAGTCCCTTTTCATCCCCTTGTTTAGATGACAAAAATATAACATATCATCAAATGTAACTTTTGATTAATAAATATACAATAAAATAAGATATGTATCAATATACATGTCAGTTTTTGTTTTTAATTTATTTTTAAATTATTTATTAAACTTCTATGCCCAGGTTGTGTTCAGGTAATAAGTTATGTGTTTTTATTTTTATTTTTTTTTTAAAGAAATGAAATTGTTCTAGTGAATGAGATACAAATCATATTTTTCATTAATTCCGTCGCAACACAGTGTTTAAATGACTAAAATCAATTGTGCCTTTTGGAGAAATAGTTTATGCAAATTTTTTAAGGATTAAAATAGAGGAAATTAAAAAAAAAAAACATTTAAAAATAAAGAAGCAAAAAAAAAAAGAATTAGGTTAATAATTATTGTTTATAATTTAATTTGTTAAAATGTTAACCAACCGATTTTATCCCAGTTGGTAGAGCGTAGGAATGTAGTTGGTTGGTTTAACAGATATTCTTAGGTCGCTAGTTCGAATCCGGTGGGTCGGATTTTTTTTTTTTTTTTTTTCCTTTACATGTCATAACTTCACCAGGCAAATCGCATTGATGTTGAAATTCTGCTGATATCAATATAGTTTAATATTTCACACAAATGAATTAAATATTTTCTATTCTCTAATTTCTCATGTCAAATTTATGTTTTGCACATACACTATTCTTGAATCATAGAAAACTTAGCATGCATGGAATGAGGCTGAAAGTTAGTTTTAGACTCAATGAATTCACTTACTCACTCTAAAAGTATATAATTGAATATCAGAAAATTTAAGAATGTTGAAACAAAATTTGACTAATCTTGTAACTTATAACTCATAAGCTTTATCAAATATGCACTGAAATTTGATAAATTGGAGGGTCAGAAAAACAACTTATTCAATTATATCAAACTTATATGCAAATTATAACTCATAACTTAATATATTTTCAAATTCCAAGCAAATTTATTTTTCACATTAAGACATGAAGACCAAACAACTTGTGAATTTGAAAGAGAGATAGAGAGAAGATTGATTCATAACTTCACTTACTTGCACACTTGCTTCTAATCACTAATACCACCAACTTAAAATTGCATATGTTTGTCCTCTATCGGTCACATATTGAAGATACAATTGCGGAAAGATGAGGCAAAGAATTCTGTTCAGAAGTTGGCAATACCATACCCTCCATTGTTTCCAAAACAAGAGTGGACCAATCACAATTCCAAGACCAAAAATCAGTCCCAATTCGAAAGTGATAAAATTCCAATTAATTATACACACTAGCCTTCTACATTCTGGTTCTAGCAGTTTTTGTTTTTCAATTAATGGAGGACCGTATAACCCATCATTACCTTCGAAGGAAGAAGCCGGAAATGATTGAAGTTGGGTACCTGTTGGAATCTTTCCCACCAAATGATTGAAAGAGAGGTTTAAATATGAAAGAAATGACAAATTTGCAAGCTGTATAGGAATTTCTCCACTCAAAGAGTTTTTTGAAAGGTCTAGAGATTCCAACTGGATCAGGTTGTCAATTGATGATGGGATTTTACCAGACAAACAATTGTTTGACAAGTTGAGGGCATAAAGTTCTTTGAATTCCATTAGTTTGTCTGGTATCGGGCCTTCAAAATGGTTGGAGGAGAAATCAATGGATGTGAAGATTCTCAAAATTTTAACCAACTCCATTTGTAAACCTTTGTTGATAACTGTCACACTATCTTCATAATATAAATCACTAAATTCAATCCTTTTCTCTATGATCTTCGATCCAACTTCATTTTTCTTATCCGTTATATTTCTTTTCCAGGTAGTAAAATACTTTCCTGGCAATTCTCCGCTAAAATTGTTGAAAGCAATGTCCACAACTTGAAGCACTTGCCACACTTTCAAACATGCTAGGGAACCTTGAAATTTGTTGTTCCGCAAAACCAGGATACTGACTTTCTTCAAAAAGCATGGGAAACCACCCATTATTTGATTTGATCCAAGGTCCAATACCTCTAGCTTGGAGCAGAAGGCAAGAGACTTTGGAATTGGCCCATCTAGTAGATTTCCATGAAGATTTAAGGTCCACAAACCACATGAAGCTGGACCTGTATCAGGAATTTGTCCCGAGAGCTTGTTGTTCTTCAGATTTAGTACTTCAAGGGTGTCACTCATCTTCATCAGACACAAGGGAATTGAGCCAGAAATCTCATTGATTGAAAGATCAAGTACTGCAAGACGTGAAGCTTTGCAGAGGGAGTTAGGGATATTCCCATGCAAATTATTGTTTGAAAGAGAGAGAAAAAAAGTCTCAGAAAGGTAATTTCCAATATCACTCGGGATAAAAGTGCTAAATTTGTTGCAGGAGTAATCCAAATATCTAGCGGGAAAAACAGGTATTGGCCCTTGAAAGTTATTGTAATGAAGGTCCAGGAGAGACAAGTTGGAACTATCATTGTGCAAACGTGGTTCGAAATCAGTCAACAAATTGTGAGAAATATTGAGATAATTTAGTTTCTGAATCCATTTGGGCACCATCCCTCGAATTTGATTATCAGAAAGATCAAGATGGATCAATGTGGACATATTTCTCAAGAATCTAGGGAAAGTTTTCAAGTTGCAGGATGCTAACTTTAGAGTTCTAGTTCTGGGAAAGAAGGATGTGTCGACATCTGTAACATTCAAATTGACTGATAAGTTATTGTATGATAGGTCTAGTTCAGTTAAATTTTTAAGCATAGAAAGCTTATTCAGCTGCACCGACCCATTGAACTTGTTTGAAGAAATTCGGAAGATAGAAAGTGTATTTAACTGGAAGATGAATGTAGGAAAAGATCCTGATAGATTGTTGCTACTTAAATCCAGGAGCTTTAGCACAGAAGATGACACATTTATGAATTCATCTAGGTGACTGAATTGATTGTGGGAAAGCTGAATCTCTTGCAGTAATGGGAGTGTAAAAAGGGAAGAAGGAATGCTTCCAGTGAAAGAATTATCCCTCAAGTCAATATAGACAAGGTTGTGCAGTCCTTGAAAGTGAGATGATGGAATTACACCACTCAAAGCATTGTGAGAAAGGTCTAAGTTGGTAAGGTTTTTTGCCATCCCAAATGATGCCATTGGACCTGTGAAGAAATTTTCAGCCAAATTTAGATTCTGGAGATGTTGGAGACTGAAAACACTGCTTGAATTGTCTAATACACCAGATATTGATTCTGCAACGAGGTCAAGACCAATAACATGTCCCTCCCCATCACAGACCACACCCATCCACATGCAACAATCAGTACTTGAATTCCATGAATTCAGACTGCTGCTACTTCTATCTGCCATGTCTTTGAATGTGAGGTTGCTCTTGAATTGGAGCAGCAAAGGCCTCTGATCATCAAGACAATGGCCAGAAACCACAAACTCGTGGTTACAAAGGAACAACCAATAGAGTGACAATATCATAAGTGTCGAGACAAGATCCATTTTCACTGTAGATTGTAGATTATAGATGATGATTATGTGTGACCACTGTGATTAGATGTAGAAGTTTAAACTGAAAGAAAACTGAAAATAAAACCTTTAGTTTCCATACTGATAACATTAAATAATACTCAACTTCGGTGGAAAAGTCTTCTTTCAGCTTTTGTTTTAGGGACTAGAAACGTTGAAGGTCGAGGTTTGGCTCCTAATGGGACCATCAATATATTAACTATTTTGTTTTTCTAAACGATATCGTATGCACTTAACAAGATTTAAGTTTATCCACAGAGAAAATGATTACTGCATTATTCTGATGGGACTAATACTTAAGCGTTATTACTTTGATTTTCCGAATTGCCACGGTTACAATTGTTTAAGAATCATGCATCAGGTGGAATTGCTTTTGATAAAAATATTTCCGAAAACCCCTGCCTTGTATTGAATATGATAGCACAATATATACATGAAATACAGAAACATTCTAGGCTATAATTACGCTAACCATTATAGTCGGTATCCTAAATTTGTCTATTAACAGATATGAAATTAATGTGCATCGCTGTCATGCCAAGCTAAATATGGAAAAAAATAATCATGTAGAATCATGGCATGATACGGTATTTGTAATCGTATATTCTATGTATATTCTATGTTTATCACCCTTCCTCAAGATGGAGCATGAAGGTTATGAATGCCCAACTTGCCTAAAAAAGAACCAAATTTAGTGGCGCCAAGAGATTTGGTGAAGAGATCGGCCAGTTGATGATGAGTGGACACATAGGAGGGTTGGATATGATTGTGTTGTATTTCATCACGAATAAGATGACAATCCACTTCAATATGTTTTGTCCAGTTCATGAAACACGGGATTCTTGGCAATGTGAAGGGCGGCTTGGTTGTCACGGTAGAGAGTCATAGGGTCGGTGTGAGTAATGCCTAGGCTCGAAAGAAGGCCTTGAAGCCATTTCAACTCACATGTCGTGTTGGCCATAGAACGATATTACTGCCTCGGCGGATGATCGAGAAGCCGTATGTTGCTTCTTGGTTTTCCGGGAAACGGGGGATTGACCAAGGAAAATAAACCAACCGGTGAGAGATCTTCGAGTGAGAGGACAACTTGCCCGGTCAGAGTCACACCAACCATAAAGACGAAGGTCACTCTCTCTTTTTAAAAGCACACCACGACCGGGCTGCCCTTTAAATAGCGTACCACGCGGAGTGCAGCCCGCCAATGCTCTGACGCGGTTGGTGCATGAATTGAGATAGGACATGAACAACTGTAAGATAATTCGGGTCGTGTAAAACACAAGTAAATAAGGCGGCCAGACGAGACGTCGATATTGACTCGGGTCGAGAAAGTAGTTCGCCATCGGCCAATGCTAAACGATGATTTTCTTCGATTGGCGTGGACACGGAGTTTCCCTCCAAGCAATCACTGCTTCGGCTATGATGTCCAACGCATACTTAGTTGACACAAGAAAATTCTGTAGGAGATCGGCAACCTCCACCCCAGAAAGTATTTTAATTTCCCTAAGTCCTTCATATGAAAACATTGATGAAGATAATCTTTGAATTGCGCAATGTCTTCATGATGATTGCCGGCAATGACTAGGTCATCCACGTAAACTAACACGACCGGTTCGACATCTCCTTTGCGAAAGATGAACAAGGAGTGATCGGACGAAGAACGTTGAAATCCATATTGAACAAGAGCGAGTTGAGAGCTTGGCAAACCAACAGAGGAGCTTGACGAAGACCATAAAGGGACTTGCGGAGACGACACACCATACCCTTTTGAGACACCAAGAACCACTGGCGGCATTTTCATGTACACAGCTTCCTCAAGATCGCCGTGCGAGAAAAGCATTATGGACATCCATTTGATGGAGTTCCCGAGTCTTTGGCTACGCCACTTGCCAACACTTGTCCAGAATGGTGACCATCTTTGCCATCTGGGGCAAAGGTCTCGTCATAGTCAATCCCCTCGACTTGGTGATTTCCCAAGACAACTAATCGGGCTTTGAAGCGTTCAACGCTCCCATCGGAATGATATTTGATTTTATAAATCCACTTGCAACCCGGAGGCTTCTTCCCTGCTAGGTAGAGGAGTAATGTCCCATGTTTCATTACTTTGGAGGGCACTGAATTTCACTAGCCATGGCATCTCTCCATCTAACATCCCGAACGGCTTCAAAGAAATGCACGGGTTCTCGCTCTGCATGAAGGGCTGCAAGAAAGGTTCGGTGGGGGAAGGAGAATTTAGCACAATTTAAGTACTTTGTCAAACTGTAAGGCATACACGAGGAAGGCTGAATGTGGAGTGCGAATTGAGGGACCGAGTTGTAAAGTGGTGTTAGTGACATAATCACGAAGCTTCACGAGATGGCTTTCGTACACGAAGACCTTTCCCCGGGGATGCGGGGACGGTATGCTCCTCGGGAACCTCTAGTTACTGTCATCATAGAGTCGGTTTGTTACGGTGGGAGAACGATCTGGGTGGGAGGCTCTTGTTCATGGCATTCGGCGTGGCCCTCCACTGAACTCGGTTGTGGGCACATCTTCTGTTGTGGGGTTAACGTCATCGGTCTCCACAACGTGTTACGCATTGTTCATTGCACCAAGTCCAGGCAATGCTTCCTCGACAATGCCAACATCAACGGTAGGCAATCCTACCTCCGAATGTCTACTTGTGGGCAAGAGAGGCAAACGGGAATTCATGTTCTACAAACTTAACATCTCTCGAAGTCCGAGAAGACTTCTCTTTCCGAGATCAAACAATTTCCAGCCCTTTTTTTCGATTGAATATCCAACAAATACATTCTTGCGACTTCTACTTGCAAATTTGTCACCTTTCCTATCTTGGTTATGTGCATAACACAAGCATCCAAATACCCGTAGATGGTCATAAGTGGGTGGCTTCCCATTCAATATTTCATATGGAGTTTTTCCATGGAGAACGGTTGAGGGTGTACGATTGATCAAGTATCCTGCGGTCAAAATGCATTCTCCCCGGAATTGAAGTGGAAGTTCTCCACGAAATCGTAGAGCACGAGCTACATTTAGGATGTGTCGATGTTTTCGTTCGGCTCTCCCATTTCTTTGAGGTGTTCCGAGTGCATGAGGTTTGATGGAGTATCCCATGTTGCTTGAAAATATCGTTGAAGACACATAAACTCGGTTCCATTGTCACTTCGTAATATTTTGACTTGTTTCTCGTATTGTCGTTCTATTAAGGCGATGAAATGCATTAAGGTTTGTGACACATCTTTCTTATTATTCAAGAGATATATCCACACGGCTCGAGAACAGTCATCAACCAAAGTGAGAAAGTAAGATGCACCACAAGACGAGGGAGTTCTATATGGACCCCATAAATCACAATGTATTAAATCAAATATATTGGATGCTTGAAAATCACTTAAAGGAAATGTGTTTCTACATTGCTTTGATCTCTCACACACTTCACACACACGAGTTGTATCAGTATTTCTATTCACGTTCGTTCGGATGCGGAATTTTTCTAACAATCTGGTAGGCGGGATGTCCCATTCGCTTGTGCCAAATCTCTAGTTGATTTTACGCATTGGTGCGATACGCCTTTATGCCACTCACACCACGATACCAATAGAGTCCCTCTTTTCGTTCACCCGCTCCAATCGGCATCCTCGAAGTGTGGTCCTGCATTGCACAAAATCTATCGGTAAAATGTCTTGTACATTTTACTTCATTCGTCAATTGTGAGACTGAAATCAAATTGCAATTCAATTTCGGAACATATAGAACATGTTTAAGTTTCGAGTCCTCCATCAAGGAAAACTGATCCTTCTTTGTTTGCCGGCACCAATTCACCATTTGGTAGTCCCACTTGGGCACCCTTCCAAGGCTCGACTCTCCCTCAAGTTTTCTAGTGTTCCTGTCATATGATTAGAGGCGCCACTATCAATAATCCACAAGTCACATGCTTTCTTACCGAGTCATCTTTTCGAGTTTCATTTGCCTTGCGAGAATTCAACATTCTTTGTCAAGATCTGCCATTGCTCATTACTCGGTCCTGCTACTTACGGTTTTTCGGTTGAACCAACGTTATACGCACCGGTGTGCGCCATATTGACGCGAGCCGTTCCTCCTTTCCCTCGGAAGGTTCCTGTTCTTTGTTGATTTTTTCCATCGTTTCTATCGGTTCGTGGTCTCTCTCCCCACCATTCTGGGTAACCAATGATCTCGAAGCAATTGCCTTTGTCATGTCCCTTCCTTCCACACTGCATGCAAACAAGCTGATTTTTCTTCCGCTTCATTGCGCAACTTGTTCCTGGTTTCCGCTCGCATAGCCATTCCCACGATCATTCCTCGCTCTTCTTTAGACCTGGTGATTGTTCTCACCCTTTCTTCTTGCACCATGGTGGCATACACCCGATTCAACGAGGGTAATGGATCCATTGCCAAAACATTTGACCGTGCGGTTCCATAGCCCTCATCATCTAGCCCCATCAAGAAGCTGATGAATTTTTTCTTCTTCTCTTCGTTTCTCAAGTTGCATCATAATATTACAATTGCATCCCCCACATCTACACTTGTGGGATTTGCTCGTAATTTGCCAGTTCATCCCACAACGTTTTCAACTTCCCATAATAGGAAACCATAGTCATTCCTTGTTGTTTGCATTCGCCAACTCGACTTTAGCTTCTTGGATTCTTGGTCCGTTCACGATCGAGAATCGTTCCTTGATGTCATCCCATAGGTCCTTTGCGTTTTCCATGTATGCAACGAGTGGAACGCAAACTAGGTTCTATAGTGTTTAGTATCCAAGATACAAGCATCGATTGAATTGTCCACCAATCTTCTATCTCGGATGTGTCTTCTTCGGGTTCCTTATGAGTTCCATCTATGAAACCCCATTTCCTTCGAGCCGCAGAGATATCTTCGCGGCCCTTGCCCATTCCTCGTAATTCTCTCCTCGTAATTGTACCTGTGTAATTACATTT